TTGGTTAATTGGTTTGGGTTTTTTTAATGGGGTCATTTCAGGGGGCAAAGAACACATCCTAGAACCTGGCGCTGAATGCATTTAGCTTTGTTTGAAAACCTCCACTTCGCAAAACTGATCACATCACAGTAAGTATCTCAGTACAAGATATACCAAGGGGTGCCATGACTGCAGAGGCTGTGGGAAAGATGAGGAATCATAAAGTATGAAATGCTATCTTGTTAGCAGCATGGCCAAGGAACCTAACGGGTGCACTTTCCACACAGAGGAGGTAGCACAGATGGAAACAGGCAAGGTTTTCTTCAAAAAGATGCATGATTTTGAAACAAGAATTGGCATACCCAGTCCTAAGAGAAAGGAGCTTTTTGAGCTCAATCCATGACAAATATGATGAGACAAACCACAAAGGACCTCAAGTGAATGCTCTGGAGATGGTATTTTACAAGATGAAGTGTGGCCAACAAGGGAGGAAGCTAGTAGAGAGATACAGAAATGGGCTACATGACAAGAGAATTGTAGATTCAGGAAAACAGATTACACAGCAACATTACTATTTCACCCGAATAGTGCAACAAGAGTTTTACTAAGGACAAAAGGGAGAAGACTGATACTGTAGAGGTGATAAACAAGCACGTAATTTTTTCTACACAGAAAAGAAGAAGGAAGCAGTGAGACTTTATACACACCTAGAGCAAACAAAACTCAGTGACGCTCAAAGTAAGTCATAGCCATGAGTACCTTGTTGAATCACAAACACCACCACAGAGCAGAAACAGACAAATGGCCTGGACTAGACCCATTTGAGACTGATACTGCAAACCTTTACTGTCAGCTCAACAAAACAATTTTTGACACTTTATAAGATTCAATAAGATGGACTAAATATACTTGAAGCTATTGATGAGTGATTATTTCACTGACAAAAGCTTTTCTTGACCAAGAAAGCAAACAAAGAAATAAATAAACTCACATGACAAGCCACACAACATGTTCTGCCTCATATATTTTCATTTCATTTCACCATATGTAATCCGCATTCTACAGCACACTGATCCCACTGTTACAAACTGCACCTCTCTACAGAAAGACCTGGGAGTCTTTATGGATGGACTTCTAATACACAGAGGCAATACCTTGGGCATAAAATAAAATAAAATTAGCATTTATGTCAATGCCTTCTTTATATATAATACAATACTGAGTCATGACTGTAGCAGACCACTTTGCATGAAACACACCTCGAAAAAAAACCAAACAATTTTCAACAGAAAACAAGAGCAAGTCAGTTTGACTTGCTTATATTCAACCCAAGCCAAAAACCACGATCAGTCATGCAGTTGTTTGAAACCTGATTTCAAGTCTGCACTTACATGATAATGTTCAAATTCAGGAATGTAGCTGTAAAATGTTAATTCATACCCACCAAACCTTTGGAGAACACAATCAGTTGGCTTAATCTCATTTCCACTGGGTTTGATGGAACTCAGTGCTGTCTCAGCAGTGAAGGCAGCAGAGTTTGGCCCCAGGACATTACTCACTCAAGGGTAGATCTGAAGCTGATGGAAGCCAAACTCTTATACTTTAACGGCTGAATTGACATTTACAAGCTTCTCAAAGCCCATAGCCACATTTCCCACTCACTACATAGCCATTTCTTATACCATACCAATAAGAAAGCCACCAATGAACCAACCATTCATTTCAGATAAACTGGCCAGTAATGACAGCAGAGAAACCAGACTCCAGAAAATAACCAGACAGAATAATCCTGGGTAAGATCCTTAAAAATTATCTTTAATTGATGCCAAGTATGAACAGATGAACAAGTACAGAAGCAGGTAAAATTGCATAGATGAAAACTATGCATTTCAAATAGCTCAAGAACTGATAACATTAGATGTTCTAAAAAAGGTAAGTCAAATGATTTCACTGCTGGAAGTAAAATGAGCGGTAATGACAATGAAGTACATACTTGACCCAAAGTGTAAGCCATTTGTAAATGCTGGAAATAGGTACAGCTGTGTCAGCTTAAATGGTTTGTTGCCCTGATGGTGCACTTTCATATGGATACTATTCAGTTTATATATTTCACATTGGTAATAACTGATCTTTAAAATCAGAGGTATGTCTGAGAGGCCATATACAGTTCTATCAACAACTGCTATTTATTCATTTCAAACCGACATAGTGCAAAAAACAATGGTTTACATGTAAAGGAAAGGAAAAAAAATATTTCATCTTAGCAGGTTATAGGTAAGGGTTTGCTGAATTTAGTCATAAAAATATCATTTTTACTTTTGTACAAAAGTAAAATATACATTTGATCCCAATTACATTATAGAAACGTCACTGAAACAATAACATGGATCAAAGACTGATGCACCTAAAGGAACTGAATGCAACGTCTTCATTTTATTATAGAAACTAGAAATGGAAGATGATTTTTGTTTTATAACTTGTAGTGGCATTTGCTAGAGCATGTGAACAGGTGAAATATACAGAATTACATAGATATTAACAGATACTTTGACACAAATTTCAATTAAGACCTCAGTTTCATTTCATTTCCTTTGAAAATATCCAAGCTATGCCTTGACAACATAAATTGTTGACCTCACTGGTGGCAAGTTCACTTATACTGAGTGAAACGGTAGAACACCCTGAAGTTTCATTTTTGCAGATACAAATACTGACACCTTTAAGAATACTTGGTAAGCATTTCAGGGAAAAAAAAAAACAGTTCTCTACACTGATTAAGTAAAGCCAGAACAACAGAAAACAGAAGAAGAAACTCAGCCTGAAGTAAGTTCAACCACTGAGCCTGTTTCAGACTTGCCATAGGCAGGTCTGGAACAAACTTGCCATGTTGTGCAATTGCAAGGACAGCTTTGCAATTCCGTCCAGCTCTGTGGCTATGGAGGGTAAATCACACTTTAGAGCTCATTCTGCGTTCCTGCAAGTCTGAAATTAGTCTGATGAACAGTGGCATTAGGCTGCTGGAAGCCTACAGAATCAGACCATTCCTGGAAAAACTGCAGTACTTCCCTCTTCTTCATGTTAGGGGAATTGAATTAATCCAGAATGGCACCCCTCTAAAAAACAGTTATCCAGCTAATAATATTGGAGAGAAATATATTGTCTGTATGTTACATGTGTATGCAGAAGATCTTATTCTAAAATACAACTTTCTGCCTTTTCCTCATAAATTTCTGATGTTCTTGTCCTAGTGTTTATTTTGGTTAATATGTGTGCAAATGAGAAACTACACTGTCCAAGTGAGAACTATGGAAAAGTGAAACTTGCCCTCAGTTCCTTTAAAAATACTTTCAAATAAGTAGGTTTTTATGTTACGCATGGGTTTCAGCTCCCTCAGAAACAAACTTTCTGCACTTCTGCCCAATGGAAACAGTTGTCCCTTAGTAAAAAATGTGTCAACAAAAGTTGCCAGTGCTCCAATTATTGATCTGGACCAATGTAGCCTCTAAAGAATGATGCGTAGCTGATTTGCTAAGAAGGCTCTGATGCCTGAAATCTCTATTTGGGCAAGATGGCTGCTGAAAACAAGAGTATTTTGCTGAATTTTGTCCTGTCTCTAGTGCTTTGTACTGTCTTTCAAGTGCTTGTCCACATAGCCAACATTACATCAGGTTAAGCACGTGTACAGTTAACAGGCTTCATAAGTGGAAATTAATTTCTTTGGGGCATGATTATCGTCAGCTTCCCAGAAGGCAGCATGATTGATTTTCCTCACACCTACAAATGTGTAAACCATGAACAACGGAAGGAAATCACTAGAATTGTTACCATGTTAGTCCTCAGTAAGCCAGGCTGTGAATCTCCAGCACTCACATACTAAGAGTTTAGAGGCACATGGCCGAGCTCTGCCCAGCCACCCCCTGTGAAGCAGGGTCAGTTCCATTACATTTAATGATTACTAAAGGCTTATCTGTCTGAATGAACTTGTGAGGCAGATGAGGTAAACTGCATTAAGCCCCATTGTGTTGAGAATTAAAGCAGCCTTAATTTAATTCATCTTACTTTCCTTCCAAAAAGAATGCCTCCGAATCAGATTAAGGTTGCTTTTATTCTGCAACAGAATGTCCATGCTGGGCTTTAAAACAGTTTAACAAATCTACTTTAAATGCACACCTTTCATTAATTCACATTAGTTTTCCTGAAGTCCCCTGTGGAGATAAGGCTTAAGAGACTCCATGCACGAGAATTTGCATGGGTTTGATACGATGCTCTCAACTCACACCCTGGCTTACTGCACACTATCTTCCCTGTGAAGACAAGTAAATGCAGTTTCTTGTCTCTCCTGAAGCTTCTGCACAGAGAATTTGAGCTCTTGGCAGTCTGGCAGCAACCTCACAGCTCAGTGATGGAAGAGGCTACAGAGCCTTTTATTTCCACTCTCCCCCTTGCTCCTCTGCCTGTTCCCTAGTGCTCTGTAGCTAAGTATGGTAGGGCCAGATGGGGAATTCTGGAAGTAATACCAGCCTATGGGATTCCCACCCACTGCCCCTCAATTTCATTCCTGCCTCTGCATTGCAGTGCACTGCTTCCTTGCTCATGCCAGATAAGTTCCCTCATCCCCTTCACTGTGTGGATGAGGAAAAAGCTGTACTGGGGCAACTAAAAGCAGAAGAGGCATAGAGCAGTGGCTGGTAAAGGAGGCTTAGGTAGTGACTCCTTATGGTGGAAAAGCTGCCTTACCTCATCAAACTAGAGCCCAACTAAGATTGTCATATCTACTGGTTTCTCTGGCCAGCATAACAAGGAAGAGCATTGCTTCTGGGAGTTCAATACCAAGTGAATGAAAGACTCTTGACTCTTTCAGAGGTACACTAAATTGGCCAACAGCTCATTTCCAGTCCTTGTCCACTGACATAAACAACCCCATAGAGCTCATGTGTGTCAAAACAAAACATACGCCAAAATGGGGTAGGAAAAAAGGAAAGAAAGGAAGGGAAAAAAAAAAAGAAGAAAAAAGGAAGAAAGAAGAAAAAAGAAAGAAAGAAGAAAAAAGAAAAGGATGCTAACTGGTAAGAACAGGTAGTTAAGTGCACCTTCAGGACCACAAAGACACTTCGGCACTCCTGCATAAAGGGAGTAAGAGCTTTTGTTGCTATCTTCTTGTGTCAAACATATCGAAAAGACATGCTTATGCTACATGAGATTAATTCCTGAACTCCGTATGTATTGAGATCCTTTGCAGTGAGCTATAAATGGACAAAGCAACGTTCAGGCTCCCCAGACCACCCCACGTCCTAATGATCCATCCTGGTCTCCTGACAAAGAAGAATCACTGCATGCAGCACTTTACAGATGTAGAATGATTATCATTCTGTTCATTAAGCTAAGATGTCCATGCCCAACTGTGGCAGAAGTTGTTACCAAACTGAGGCCTTGTCTCCCAGATGCTAATTTCTGATCATCAGTCCCACAGCACTGAATAGATTATTGCTGTTTAGTTTAGTCAGTTGGTTGTTTTATAAACTGAGTGCAGCATTCAAGTCTGTTTTGACATGAGAAATCATATCCTAGAATTCACGTTTGAGAGCATCAGGGCCACCAGAATTTAATGGGGAGATGTGTACAATGGGCAGGGGTGTGAGCAGGGGACAGGAAGGAAGCTTTATAACATCTACCTAGAGAATGTAATGCCCTGTTTTATTTGATGCTTTGCATTTCGCAGGAGTCAAAAGCCCCCTCAGTTCTTGACTGGTTGCTCATCGTTAAGATTCACAGAAGCTACACTGAGAAATAAAGTCAAGTCTTTCTAGAAACCTGGCAGGTCAAGCTTGTGCGTTACTGCAGAGTTAGGGTTGTTTTTTAACTCTTAAGTGCCTTGATTTTATATATGTGTGTGTCTGCACATGTGCGTGACACACATGCATAACCAGACATATATATTTATTTATACACATATATACACATATCAGAAAGATAGGGAAGAAAGAATCTGTACAATGTGGAAGGAGAAGCGTTCAACAGTAGTTGGCCACGTGTTAAGTGCAGAATGAAGATCCTCAACTTTTTCCATTTAAAAAATAAAGATTAGTGCCTACATTAGTTCAGATCAAAGTTTAGCATCTTCCAGAGCCTAGCAGTCAAGGATGGCATATTGCAGAAGATACCTTCTCCTAGTGTGGATTCCTTCACCAGATGATGGTGGAAGTAAAATAAGTTTAGGAACCAGAAAGAAGAATATGGTTTAAAGGAGCTGTGATGGGATTTAAGATCTGATGGACTGACGAAAGGGGATAGAGGAGGCAGGTATGGGGGGGCACTGGAAAGCCTCTCCTACCTACCTGCTGGGAAATCCAAGGGAAAGAAAAGCACAGCCCTGCAGTCTGGTTGCCTGACTGGGTGATGCCGCAGTTCATGCTGACCCCTACTTCTTCCTGCAGCCTGCAGCCTGTCCCCAGCTGGGACAGGCTGCCAAAAAGCCATCTCAGGGAAAGGAAGGGCAGATACAATGATGGCAGCAATGTCTCTATAAACAACCTTGGGGAACTCGAAGTCTTGCATAAACACAACTATGAGTTATTTGGCAGAAGCAAATGCTGAGCCCTGCAGTATCAGGCTGGCTGGGGAAGGAAGGTATACTATGGGTGCTGATGATCTCTGCCCCCTTCTTCTGCATCCCTCTCACTCACACTTGCTTTTTCTTTCTCTATCCTGTTCTGTGCAGTGCCAGGAGGCAGCAGAGAACACTCCTGTACTTGTGCTGGTGCCTTTTAACCCTTTCCTTTGCTATCTCTGACCAGCTCAGTTCCTGGAGGCACTTTCAGCAATTTAGGGGATGTAAGATAAAGGCACTGCGCAACTACTTATATCAATATGTTGAGTCTCTTCGGTGAGCTTTAAGGGAATACAAAAATGTCTCAACTAATGACTGCAAAAGAAACCAGCTGCTGCAATTTGGATGCATATAATAAATAAGTTTCATTTACATTCTGAGAATGCACCAAAAAGCATGCATCTGCACCTTTCAGCTATAAAGGATACTAGGTTGTAGGTGTTGCTATAGATAACTTGACTTCTTAATTTTACATACAGCTTTCCCTTTAAGGGTTGGGATATCTTCCTTTCCGACAACGCCTGGACAAAAGCCAACACGTTTCCCTGAGCAATACAGGAAAACAATCAAGTTTCTCTAATCAGTTCATTTAGGCCTTCAGTCTACCAATCACTTTTTTTTGTTGTTTTTTTATTGTTATTATTAGTTATTGTTATTATTATTGAATTCATGCATTAATTAATTCAAGTTACACCTTAATCAAATAGGCCATAATGCTGAATATTTGAACATGCTTTGATCTCCAAAAGTTATTGTTCCCGTTTGACTAACATATGCACTTAAATACAGTACTTTAAATTACTAGTCAATGATTTAATAAACTAAGGAGTGCACTTCTGGTGAATGCAAAACAAAAAGAAAAAGAAAACAAGGAAAAAAATGAGAGAAAAAAGAGAGATAAAGGACCTATTTTTAGGAGATTCAGTTCAAACGAAAGCTTATCCGCTATTGTCTGAGGTAACGTTTCAAACATGCTATTATAAAATAAATAGTATCAAATTCAAACATGCTTCTATTAAACTCCATTGTGCTATCTTGCAACAGAGGGGCTTAAAGTTTTGTATCCAGTTCTGGACAGGGAAAAGGAAAAGTATGTTTAAATCATCTGCATGTAAGAGAACTTAGCAGCATTGCAGATGTTTTGTCTTCAGCTTTGTTTGTTATTTTCCTTTTAGAATAGTTCTTGTATGGAGAGCAAAAGAGACCAGGCTTAAGTATGTCTGTAATAAGGTAGGCTGGAAGTATGTAATCTTTCACACAGGGGGCAGAAGGAAGTTTTGCACTCCTTCATAAAAACCATGGCAAATGCTTGCTGCAGTTTTTTGCTAATCTTTTTTCGTTATCTGATGCACTTTCTTGCAACTGTGCAGTTTTGCAGAATATTTTCACTGGAATCCATGCATATGCTTTATAGCTCTAAAAACTGTCTTGCTTAGTTTAAGTTAACTGTATCAAACAAAAAAATAAAAGGAGGTGGGAGAGGAAAAGTTTAGGTCTAGCATCACACAGCTTAAAACTAAACTAGTTCAAATGGTTACCATTTACCAGGTGGAAAATGTTTTTTAGAAATAAACAAAATCTTATCTTTCATGGATCCTGGAAGCTTCTTTATCGCTGAGCAAATATTCGCAATGCAACAATGCATTTACGAGGTAAATAAAGCATTCAAAGACTATCAGTAAAGCATCTACAAAGTGTGACTGTGTCACTAAAGTCTTCAAGCTGTGAATGGGGATTTGGTTGGGTTTATTTTGTTTACACATCAGTCAGCAGCTTGCTTTTATTAACGCAGTTTTGGTTGGCTACAGTGCAGTTGCCAGTTCTGAGATTAGCCTCTCTAAAATTGTCTATGCTATTATTCATATCCTCTTCGATTTCCATGTACTCAGATTTGCTGATTGTGGAAGAGCTGCGGCGACTGAGATCACTGTCAGATGCTAAATTAGGGGAGCTAACGTGAAGTAACTGAGCCTGTTCTTCCCCTTCTGTTTCTCGGTGGTAGAAGTAGTTGAAGTTGGACACGATGACAGGTACGGGCAGGGCAATTGTCAGCACACCAGCGATGGCACACAAGGAGCCTACGATTTTGCCTCCAATTGTCACAGGGTACATGTCACCATAGCCCACAGTGGTCATGGATACCACCGCCCACCAGAAAGCATCGGGGATGCTGGAGAAATGAGACTCAGGTTCTTCAGCCTCAGCAAAATATACCGCACTAGAGAACAAAATCACCCCAATGAAGAGGAAGAAGATCAGCAAACCTAGCTCTCTCATACTTGCTTTGAGGGTTTGTCCCAAAATCTGGAGACCCTTAGAGTGCCGGGAGAGTTTGAGGATTCGAAAGACTCTTACCAGTCTGATGACTCTCAGGATGGCCAAGGAGGTAGCCTGCTCTCCTTTCTGAGTCCCCTCCTGCTCGGCCATCTCGGTGCCCAGGGTGATGAAGTAAGGGATGATGGCCACAATGTCAATGAAGTTCATGATATTCTTGAAGAATTCAGTTTTGCTGGGGCAAGCAAAGAAGCGCACCACCAGCTCAAATGAGAACCAGATGATGCACAGGGTCTCCACAACAAAGAAGGGATCTGTGAAGATGTTGGATTTGTAGACCTGGGTGGTGTTGTCAGTGCGATGCACTGTGTATTCCTTGTCTTCTTTTAGCTCAGGTAACGTCTCTAAGCAGAAGATCACAATGGAGATGAGGATCACCATGACAGAGACTATTGCAATGACCCTTGCCGGCCCAGAACTCTCTGGGTATTCAAAGAGGAGCCATACTTGACGCTGGTACTCCCCCTCCGGCAAGGGTCTCTCCTCGTCTTTGATGAATCCTTCATCTTCCCTGAATTTCTCCATGGCCTCCTCACCCAATTCATAAAATTTGATCTCCTCAGAGAACATGTCCAAGGGCACATTGACCGGCCGGCGGAGCCGCCCCCCAGACTGATAGTAGTAGAGGATGGCATCAAAACTGGGCCGATTCCGGTCAAAGAAGTACTCATTGCGCAAGGGGTCAAAGTATCGCATGCGCTTCTTGGGGTTGCCCAGCAGAGTGTTGGGGAACTGGGCTAAGGTCTTCAGCTGTGTCTCAAAGCGTAGTCCAGCAATGTTTATCACTACGCGCTCACAACACTCATGGTCATCATGGGCAGCGGGCTGGTAGCTATCCTGGGGGTGGCCAGGCAGCGCAGAAGTCTCATCCATGTTCTCTCCAGCCATCACGGTCATGGTGGCACACGGGAAAGGGGACCCAGGGGCACGGGAGGAGAAGGGAGGGAAGAGGGACTAGAGTGGGGAGGAGGATTGAGGAGAGTACAGAGCCTCCCAGGACAGTTCAGGGAAGGGTTGGGGGGGGGAGGCTCAGAGTCTGCAGCGAGGGATGATGAGTCTGGATGGAGAGCTTGAAGAAGGGATGGATGAGAAGCCTAAAGGATGGAAAAAGCCAAAAGGGGAAAGGAGAGGTGGGACAAAGGGAGAGGCATCAGGGATGATGGGAGGGTGAAGAAAGAGGGAAGAAGTACCTTTAGGGGGGGAAGAGGGCAGGTAAGGTGAGGGGTCCTGTATCCCAAGCCGGGAGGCTGAAGGTCTATGGAGTGCACCCCCAGACTGAGGTCCCCTCCCCAGCCGTCTCCTTTTGCCTTTAACTCGATCCGTCCAATTTTCCCGCTGACTGGACCATCTCTGCAGCTGCTGTCACGAACTTACCACACACACACACACACACACACACATACACATACACACAAATAAATAAATAAGTAAATAAATAAATAAAACAATCACGGGGCTGCTGGGAGGTGAGTCCTTGCAATGCCAACTCAGCAAATTTCCATCGCCTGGGGGGGGGGCCCCCCCCCTCCACTTCCCCGGTCCTCTCCTCTTATGTGCTGGAAAGGGAGTGATGGAGATACCCTGCTTTTGAAGGCATAAATCTCACTTGCAGGATGGAGGCTGACAGGGAGGAGAGAAACATAATAAACCAGCCCCCAAACCCCACCACACACACATGCTCAGGCGCAACGGATTGGCTTTCACACCAGCAAGAGCATCCCGCTCTGCCCACTACAGCAGCACATGTGGAACCCCTACGCGTTCCCACGCATCCCCAGACATGCACCGGGGCCTCCAAGGCAGGAAGGGGCCGATATGGAACCTGCGGTGCCCTAAGCACATCAGGGGGACTTCTTAGGCAACTTCAGTGGGGTCGACTCCTGCGATAAGTCTCCTGACCGCCACACTCCCCACTTCACAGACAGTGGAGACTCAGCTGATCACTGACAACTTCATCACACCAATCGGGGGAATAAGGGGAGGGGGAGCAAAGCATCTCCTCTCTTGCTTTACAGCAGCTAAATACAAGTGAGAGAGAGACGAGGGAAGGGAGATCGACAAGCCAGACCCAAACTGTCCAAAATAGAGTCCAGTCACGAGGAGGGGAGAAGGGGATTTCCTTACCTGTTCCGAGTGCGATGCGCTGGTTAGGGGTAGGAGCCAGTGCCGGAATGCGTCAAGTCGCCTTGCAGCAGCATCCAAAAAAACCAAACCAAAACAAAAACCGCAGCGGCAAACTCAACCCTCGTCCTCTTCTTGTGCCCCTCTTAATAATACAGCGATCGCTTTACAGGGCTGCCTGCGAGACACTGAAATATTCATACACTGTCTTAGGCTGCACCAAGGGCGAGTGGGTTTAATTAGTTTTCTGTCGAGAACCGCAGTGGGGGGTGGGGGAGTTGGTTTAAAAGAGTGCAAAGTACCTTTGTCAAAAGGCTTGAGTTAGTAAATAAAATCAAGGAGTCCTAGATAGCTGCTGGCTCTCCTGCTCTCTTCCCCTAAGATAGCTGGAAGAGGAGCCGGGCGCTGGGCAGCGGCCGCTGGAGAGATGTGAGAGAGCCGCAGTCCTGCAGCCGCATCCCCGGAGTCAGTCTTGGCTCGTCCCGGCAGCAGCAGCAGCAGCAGGAGGCAGAAGCTGGACGAGTGTGGCAGGAGCGAGAGGGCTGCTGAATGCATAAGAGCAAGGAGCAAACTCGAGCCATTTCTTGACGCTGCAGTATCAGCAGAAACCTGAGAGCTGTTTGGTGCAGCTCGGGGAGCGGAGGGCGGGGGGACGGGTTTTGGGGATGGGGGGGGAACGCACGGGATCAGCGGGAGGAGCGGAGGCAGGAACGCTGCACCCCCTGGGGCGCCCGACAGCGCGGCCCCACCGCCGCTGCGCGCTGCGCACCGCGCCCCCGACGCAATGCAGGCTCCGGACCCGGACCGCACGGACCGCAGCTGGGCCACGGGGCAAGGGGCGGCGGGCGCCGGGGGTTATGCACAAGAGGACCCGTTCCTCGGCTCGCAGCCCGCAGGCACCTGCAAAGGAGGCGGCTGGTGTGGTGTAGGGCTTTACACATCCCACACGGAGGGAGGTGGCTGCGCCTGCGGTGTCCCGGAGCGCCCGCGGTGCGGGGCTGGCACGGGTCCGTTCGGCCTCAGGTCCCGGTCCCGGCCCCCCCGCCACGCCGTACGCTCAGTAGCAGGTGAGGCTGTGCAGCCAGAGCCTTCTAGGCATAGTGATGGAGGTTGGGTCCCGAGCGGTGTGGCTGAAACTGAGAGGGAAGAGTTAATCGGCAGGCAGCGTGTTACAAGGAAATTGCCCTTTCATGCTGCTTTATCCCGCTGAATTCATTTAGTTGATGAATCACATAACTTCGAGATGGAGAAGACCCATTATGTCATCAGCTTCCCTCCCCTGCCAGTGCGGGATTGTTCCCTACAGTATAGGATCATGTACATTATATAAAAGCCTTCTGCTCACTTTGTCAAAGCAGGCGAGGTGATCAAAATACAACCGGGGCCTGTGTAATTTGAAGCACTCCAGGGCTAAGTAACACCAAATCCATGTTTAACAGACCTGGTCTCATTAGCTTTCCACTGCATAATACATTATTGTCACTTAAGATCACCACCTTGGCAGTCCAAAAATACTTAATCACCTGACCTCACGGACAGTTTCTGTCTTTTCTTCCCTTCCTGTTATTTATCCCCATGTGTTGTTAGCTTGGAGTGGGGTTTTTTGCTAGAGTACAAACCATTTGAAAATCCTCTAGCCCTAGCTGTGGTGTAATCACAGCTGCTTTGCATGCTGCAGTCACCAGTCCTGGTGGAAACAAAACTAAGGAAAAAGAAACAGATTTCCTGTCTAGCCTGGTGTAGGCTTTTTTTCCCTTTCTTTCTTCTCAGTGAGTGTCACATATGCTGAGAGTTTTGTAAGAAACTTCTGGTAAAGTTCTGAGCAAGAGGAACGTCTCTTTATGCCACTCCTGCGCAAAATAATCAAAGCACCGAATAAAAGGAGAGATTATTCTCCTAGGGAAAATCACAACCATTCATTTCCTGTCTGACAGTTTAGCAGCTCAGCATCAGCACCCTGACTTAGACCCAGCATCCCTAGACGCTCTACAAACTAAAGCCCCCCCCCAAAGAGAAAGGCAGTCCCATTTCCTAAACTAACCATGCGGCTTTTCAACCCTTCAAAAAACTCAGCTACAGCCTTTAACTCAACATCCTCTTATGGCAGTGAATTCCATGCCTGGATGACATGCTGCATAGAGCTGACTGCAAAGTATTCAGAGAGCTCTGCATTCAGTGTGTTTGGAACTGCTTTGCAGAAATATCTCTGTGAGCTACTCAACCGCCTCTGGTGCGGTGTTATATCCCCCTGTACGAGTTCAAAGACAAATACGGATGCTCAGGAGTGTGATGAAAATGCAGATCTGACAATCAGAGGCCTGAGTTCAAGGTGCTGTTCTGCCCTTGTCTTCCTGCATGATTGCAGGCAAGTCTATACATTATGCTTTTACATCTGGAAAACAGGAATAAAAGTACTTCTCTTGCCTGTCACAGCTGCTTAGGCTGTTTGTTCCTGAGAGCTGTCTTTGTAGAGCAGAACCCAAATCCTTATTGGAAGCTGTGGGTACACCAGCAACAGAAAAAAACATGTAAAAAATAGCACCTTTTGTTTTGACATTACAAGGTAGTGAAAGGACAAACTGGGATATTGCTAGCCCCCCCCCATTTTGAATAGCTTTGCACTCTGATTTCTCATTCCAAACTAACATTAGCACCAAGTAATTGCGCTGGAAGGTAGACATCTTTCTAAGAAAAGTGGATTGTCAGCCATAGGGTCACTGAAAATCTTGTTAAGGTGTGTATAAAACTAATGAGCAATAAAACTAGAGATTGCAAAGAGGTCGTATGTTACATGTTACAGTGCTAAGTAGCTTAATTAAATGCTAAGGAATAGAAGGAAACTCCAACATGTTGCTGAGTTTGGAGTCAGACTGCTGTTTTTCCATACTTTCTATAATACAGAAAATGGCCACCAGCAGTTGAACTGGTAATGCCTCCCTGAGCCAAACTGAGGAGTGCTGTTAAGGAGCAAAAGTTTTCATAGGGAAATGACAAGTTCTAAGCAACCAAAAGCATAGCTTTTTGTGGTGCTAGGTCTAGTGGTACAATGCAAATGTCATTATCCCTCTCCGATAGCCTTTCACTATGAGGAACACTTCCACTTGAGCCCCCCCATGGAAAGTGCATCCATCTTGGCATGGTAGCATGGATGAGCACAAGCAGATGGGGAAGCAGCAGGCATTCTGAGTTGCACGGGGTGAGGAGCTTCACTGCCAATTTCTATGGCCGATGATGTAACTTTTCGGAGTTCAACCAGAACCGATAGACTCCTTGTGTCAAAGGTAGGTCAGTGCAGCAAAAGCAGAACCATTTCTGCAAGTTCAAAGTCTTGCCTTGTAGACAAAGGCACAGATTTCCTGTGTTTCAGTCTGGTAAACAAAAGATTTCCCCAGAAATATTTTTATTATTATTATTATTCCGCAGATTTTTTCTTTAGTATTTCAGAGAGAGAAAAACAAATTTTTGATTAAAACTCTTAGTGTATTGTAAGGTTTAAAGAAGAATTGTATTGAACGATTGTGACTCTGAAGCTGGATTAAAAAATAACTATTGGCTTTATTCAGTGAAATAGGCATTAAACACTGTCACCAGGGGATCTGAAAACTGCTGATTGAAATCAAGGGATGCAGGAGCAGAGTGGATTTCCCAGCATGGCATTATTCATGTAGGTGTCATGAGGGACACTGTCAGCATGCTAAATTTCCACGACATGAAAAGACAGTTCTTGTGACAGAAACCACTGAAAAATCTGAAGTGGCAAGAGATGTCTGGGGTTGTTTGAACCTTACGGATCTTCACAGGCACGGTAGCCCCAGTTCATTCACACCTGGAAAACCACCACATAACACAGCTCCATTCAGAACTGCATAAACCCGCAAATGAGTTGTGCAGGTGTCACCATAGACAAAATTTAACGGCCTTGGAGACAGAGGATGCTATGGATGAAGGGACATGTTTCTGCTTAAATTTGCCTTGCAGAGCAGTCATAATGACCTATTGGTCGTAATGACCTATGAGATGGAAAGAGTCTACAGATAGAATAGAACAGCTAGAACCAAAGGTGGGCTTGTGGTGTTGACAGCTGGGTTTTATTCCCTAGGAGGAACAAAAGATCTTTTAAAAAGTTTATATCTTTTAATACTGATTTATGAGCCTTGTTACTATCCTGCAGTATTATTAGGCATTGTTATGACTGGAATAATCAAATCTCATGCTTCAAAGCATACTGATAGCTGATGGGAGATGACAATGACTTTTGTTCCCTCTTGTCATATCATTACCTTGTTGTTCCTGCTCCTTTTTAAAGTCTTAAATGTGGGCCTTCTATTACCAAAAGAGTCAATGAGTAGATCCAATATTGTTGCTACACGAAGGCAAGATGAGAACTTGGGAGTGCATCCAACCCTGGGAAGAAAGAAGCAGAAACTGCCCTCAATCACCTGACAGTTTTGCTGCTAGGACCAGCCTGGAGAGAAAAGATGCCACCGCTTTGCTGCTTTTTATCCCACAACAGCGGACTGGATGTGGGCAAAGTGTGGCAGTGGAAGGATGGCTCGGCAAGGGAGGACAGAAATTGTGCTGTGCTAGGACAGGGTTGAACCTGCTTTTGTCCTCCTCTGAAGCAGCTGTGTAATCAGACAAAATGGAAAGGCAAAGATGCTAATCCACTTCACAGTGCCCAGAAAATTTCACACGCTTTTGGGCATGTACCCGTAAGACGAACACACTTCCATATGAAATGCAATTAAAAATGCTCAGGAACAATATTTTCATGGCTTTAATATCAATTTCTCCTTCTCTGACCTCCTTTCCTAGTCCTAGATTTTATTCCCAGAGCTTTGCCCAACTGGCTGCTTGCTGCTGGGAGAGCCCCGTGCTCAAGCAGGCTGGTCTGGCCTGTGAGAGGAAGAGACTGTATTTTATTGAGACTTGTGGACCAAGTCTCTGAAAATCATTTCTGTATCCCATTTTGTGCAGCAGGAACAACACATGGAGAAGAAGCCCCAAATAACTTAGTAACTGCTGCTTCTGTCTATGATTACTTGAGCATACTCAGTTATTCAATCCACATGAATTCTTTCTTAACAGTACTCAGTGTTGGCTTCCCATGATTGTATTGCTTAGGTCTCATACTGGTGCAAGAGCTTTGTTCACGAATGCTGCTGGCCACAGAGTATAGAAATCAGAGAGTGAACTTTGCCCATGTCACTAGGTGTGAGCATCACATAAAGTGCCACTGTCAGAGATGGAGAACACCTGAAGAAGAAAGAACAACATCAGAGCAAGTATGTTTCTGTAAACCCAAAAACCCGTTCTTGCAATGGGTCCTTGTAATACACAACAAAGAATTCAACTTTGGGAATCCTCAAGTTTCTCCTGTGTGAGATCATTTACAGCATGATTACAGCTTATAAGAAAGATGCTTCAACAAAGCTGATACTTATCTAAAGAAACCCCCCTTCATATGGCATTTCTACTTGAAGTGCCCCGAAAAGAATGAGGAAGTGCTGGTTCTTAAGGAGCAACAAATCTTGCTATGAAACCCCAAGCTTGAGGCTAAAGGCATCATGGAGATTGACATAATCATCTTTAGTTGAGTTTCTTTGCAAAAAGAATATGTGGCTTAACAAGTCTAGCCATTTCAGGGTACTCCCAGTGTTCAAATAGTTTACCAGTCCTACCATAGCTATAATTACAGCTGTCCCACCAGTAGCCCATTCACAGCCAAATTTGTCCTAGCTGGGCTGCAAGGTCACCTGCAATAGAACTCCAGTAACACTCATTAATGGCAACATTAGACTGCAGTAATGGAACCTACAATTTACAGTGATGCTTTACAGTTGAGGCTATTTTGAGGCTAGTGAATGGATGGGAGTTCTCAGTAAGCTGTCATGAAGTATGGCGCATTATCACTTGGTCTTATAATAAAGGGCACTCAGAAAGTCCTTCCATCCCTAAGCAGCTCAAGTAAGCATAGCATACCACCAGAATATCTTCAGTCTGGGAGAGCAGAGGGAGAAGTCATCATGGGCCCCATTAGGCCTTTCAAAAAAGTATTGCCTTATAGTTTAAGGAGACTGATACTTCCCTCAAAAGCTGACTATGAACCTGACATTCAAGCTACTGAAACAGGAAACTGTTGACACTCTCAGTGTTACTGAGGGAAAACTCTAAAAGAAAGAGGCAAGATGTCAAGAGACCTACTGAGAAAGGAGCAGAGAATAAATCAGCAGCAGTGGAAAAATAAAAACAACAGGCATCTGCATAAAACGAGAGTCTACACTGACACCAAACCAGTGCACACAGGACTGGAGGGAAGCCACCAGGCTTTAATAGTAATACAAGTCAGCCTCAATTTCATCTATCAAAATCAAAAGTATTCAGTGTCTGTTATGAGTTAGATCTGGATCTTGAACTGGATTCATGCTCTCCTGTATCACACCTGACAGAGTGTGAATGCCGAGAACATGACTATGATTAGTGTTCCCAGCAAACATTGAAACGTGCAGTAGAGCGGCTCCCAGGCATCAAAGCAGTGGGTGGTGGCACATTCTGCTGTAACTGAAAGTGCTGAAGAGGGAGTCCCCAGTCATGATTCCAGATTGTGACTGGCCCCAAGGAGACACTGAGAACACATATTAGCCCTAATGCAGGCAAGCTGAAGCTTGAAGGGGGCAGTCACCAGAATATCTGTGAACTTTAGAGTGCTTCCACTTATACCTCAGAAACCTTAGAGCTGCTAAGGAAATGACCATAACAAAAATGGTAAAGGATTTCTAGGTGCTCATAGAGAAGATGAATTACTAGATTCTTCTTTCTATCTTTCCACCTTTCCAAACACAAGAATTGTCTAAACAGTTAACTCACAGAGACAGAATTTGGCAGCTGTCAGAGCCCCATGTGATGGGGTAAAGGCAATCCAATGCAGGGAACCAGTCCCAAATTGCTATAAGCCCCTGGAACAGATAGAGCCACAGAAAGCTTGGAGTCATGATGCTGCAAAGTCAGCACCTTGAACACTTACTGGTGGAGCCCTGACACAACCAGGATGGAGTCAGATAAACAAAGAGCTGCTGCTCCTGCCTAGGGGGGGAGGACAATCCCATTGTGTCACTTTGGGGCATGGCATAAAGATGCAGTTTGAGGTCCAGCAAAAAGCAAGCATGATGAGGAAATGCTGAGTGCTCCTGAAAAGCTGCCTGGGTGGGATGATAAAGGCATTGAAGCAGTTCGTACAAGAGAGTATGTGGCTATACTGGAAGGAAAAAGGACTACAGGCATTGCCTCTCTTGTTATTAGGCAAAAGACTGAGTGTTGTTAGTGTGTGTGTGCACACATGTGCAAGATGGGATTTTATTTAAAGCAGGACAAGCAGTAATCCCTGCGGATATAAGAGCTGACATCAGGAAATGAGTAACTTCATACCTAAGGATAGAGGGTGCTTTATCTGAGCATTTCCATTGGCCCTTCACCAATGTGCATTGCAGAGCATATAAGACCCAGTGTGACATGTTTTCAGGGTACATTGATCAGTTTTGATCTTTCTGCCACTCTGAGATGCCTTTGCAAATGGTCATTTTTAAGGACAGGAGATGGACAGTCTGCTTTCTGAGAGGTGACTCTGGAGGAAGCTCTGGTAAGAACTGATCAGGAGTCAAGCAGCACCCTCCCAAAGTATGACATGCCTAACACGCTCTGCTCTGACGCGACTCATAGCACGCTGCAGCAGGATTTATGTGATTCAGCACTTAACAGGGCAGATTTGAGCACCAGATGTCTTGCCGTGGGTATCAGAAATGAAAAGTGCGAGAGAAAACAAAGTTGGCAGCATAAACAGCGGAGGGACTGATAGCAAAAACAAGACAGTCAGGAAGAGAGCCTTACCTGCCAAAGCTGGGCCACAGCAATGCTTTTTCCCTAAAATTGGATGGGAAGCAAGGAATACATTGACTAAAGAAGAAGGTGTAGAGGGGGGGTGTGTTGCAGTCCAGCAGTCAGGCTTTAGAAACATGTCACACACAGGAAAAATGGAAGAAAACAGGCATCATTTGTGACTGCTGTTCAGAGTGAAGCAGATATGAAGACAGCGAGTATCAGCATGGGTAATGGCCAAAGGAAAGCAGCTGCGTTCTGACAGGGATCATAGGTAATAGCTACAGTGACAGGACACTGTAAAGGAAAACTAAAGATAGCTGCAGACCTGGGAGAAAAGACACAACCTGAGCAAAGACCAAGCAAGTGCAGGACCTCACAGAAGCACCATGCTTCAAGAGCAGTGTAGGAGCACGAATATCAAATGGGGAATGACTTTAAAGGTCTAGGGAAAATCAAAAACCCTGCAGTCAGGGGTTCCATCTCTCTTGGAGGGACTCAGGATCTGCAGCCTCAGCTCCAAGTCTACAAAAAGCTTGGAAAAAAAACACAGAAGGGAAGAAAATGCTGAGTGGATAGTTGAAGTGCCTCTGTCTATAGCATCGGGTTGGAAATGCTCCCTGCTACCGTTGTTCTCTCACAGTGAAACCTAGTGCAAGTTGCTTTGCAGAGCTAGTTTGGCAGCAGGGCTTCTTCTTGCATTATTATCATGCTAGAGAGGCAAAAAATGCTTAGCAGGGTGTGTTTCAAATGTGTAATTTCCCTACAGCCTCAGTCAGAGTTACACTTGTAGAACATCTTTAAGGAATAGGATAGGGTTTTTTTTTAAGTGGTTTCTGACATACTTGGCCAGAATGGTGGTTGTATACTGGAGAGACAGCTGAAGTGAAGCAGAAGCAATTATTTATATAAAAAGAAGGAACTTGAATAAATGAAAATACTGGCAGCTGCTGTGTGTTAAAGTGAATGACCCAGATGCTTTGAAGCCTTGTCCTCAGGTGATTGTAATCACTTAAAAATTATTCTAAGTCTTACCCAAAATCAAGGCAGCTAGATACACCTCAGAGACTATCAGTCCATCAGCATCCAAACTCTTCTGTGCCTTGGGCACTGCTATTGCTCTAGCTTCTCAGTCTTGCTTTTTTGTGTCTTGCCTACTTATGTCTGGGCCAGGGTCTAGTTTGGAGTCTAGAGGTTTGTGATTTATTCCTTTTCTGGAGGACTCAAGCTTCCCCACTACTGTGCTGTGTATAGCAGAAGGGAATGGACCACTTTCTGTTGAGTGCTTTGAAATGTGTTGCTAGATCCTAGCACTTGAGTCCTGAGCATCTCTTTTTAAGATTTATTTTCCCTTGAAGTCTCAAAATCAAGTCTCATGATATTTAAAATGACACTGAGAGCTTAGTGAGCACATTGCAGTAGGGCCATTACACTTCAGACAAATCTTTCTCTCCCTTCATGGCAACTTGCTGATTTATTTACAAATTGCTTGCCTTTTGAATTTCTAAAGCTTTTGCCCCATTATGTCTCACATTCCAAATCCTTTTGCATTATGTAGGAAAAGAGAAAGGGCATTAATCTGCATTACCTCCTGTCTGTGCTCCACTGCCTCAAAGCAATAATCTGTGAGTTAGTATTCAACACCGTACAGTATTTTCTATCTTTAATAGTGTCTAAGGACTGATTCCAGGATAATGATCCCATTGTACTATGCAGCAGAGAAACACATCGCTAATGCAAGACATGCCAAGAAAAGCCTTTCAACAAGGTACAGATAGCAGCGAGTATGGCAAGATGTATGTTGTGAGGCAAACATAACAGCACAGTGCAAAATGTCTTGCCAGCAGCTACTTTAAAATATTTTGCGCATAACAGTGTATTATAAAAGGCAAAGACACGCGCTAGGAATCCCCAAATCTGAGTCAGAATATTAAACCTCTGTTCTTACTCAATGTTACTGAATATCTTCTTTATGTTGCACTCCAAGAGATGCTTTGGAACAGATTATCTACTGGAGAAAGCGAGTTCCCTGACATGGGACTGCAGCATGGGACTGGGTGAATACCCAGTGTGATGTATGGCAGGAGACAGTAAACATACTCATAGGAAGATGTTAGGTGTCTCTTTGAAACCTGAAGATGACCCAGTAACTGATCTAGCAGGCACGCTTTTTGGAGAGGCATAATCCTTGTTCCACACTCAACCCACTCACTACCTTTATTTGGATTCAGAGACTGTCATCCAGGCATAATCTTTGATTTTCCTTATTCTCATTGACACATCTTAAAAACATAAACCTTATGCTTGCCTCTCCCTCATAAGCCAACATGGTGTTGGCTATGGAGCCTTCCATGAACTGAATGAAATGCAAGGCATGCAAACTAGCTGCAAGAACAGGTAATACCCACAACCCAGGCGTCCTGTGTCTTGTCATGTTTTATGCATGGCAAATCCATCTCTTTTTCCACTGTGAATGAATATGGACCTTTTTGTTACCCATTTGTTTCTAATTTTACAGAATTTACACACTACCACTTACATATCTAAGGACAGATTTCACATTTCCTCATGAAAATGTACCTAGTTCTGTAAGGCCATTTTCCTACAACAGCAAAGCAGTAGAAAAGTAATTCTGATGTTTTCTCTTAAACTGGTCACTCCAATTTATGAAATTCATCACAAATTTTGAGTAGTTTCAGGTTATCTGCAGCTGTAAACTTTTAGAGTTAACTTTATTTAAAATAAGGTCATCCTTGTAACACACACAGGCACTCATGACTACATATATCTCATTGGTTTGCTACCAGCTGGAAAATCAGTGTGGGGAGCAGAACTTTGACCTTTCTGCTGCAAAACTGGAGGAAACTATCAACTGAAGGAGATAAAATAAAAAATGGTCATTAAAAAGGAAGTGGTACATGGCAATAGGGAACAGAAATCAAATTCGCTTGTTCAAAGATACACTTTGCCAAATAGCCCACGAAGGACAAAAGACTCTACTTGTTTAGCCACCAGAATAAATAATCTGTGAATTATAACTTGGAGTACTAAATAAATCAGAATACTGTTACATGTTATTACAGCAGAGGTTGCAGGACCTATTCAGGTGTGGAATTCTGCTTTACCAAATTGCTGTACGAGCAGACCAGGCTGCTCTTTTACCCTGGCCAGGGGAACAACAGGACATCCAGCAACATTAACACCAAGTAAATACAAAACAAAGGAGCTATTTCTTCACATAATATGAGAGTCACCACTGTATTGAGGACAAGCACAAGTCATATGTTCTTCTTAAGTCGTACTTAATCCCTGCTTTGCGAATTGAAAGGACATTCAAGTGATTCATAAGCCCTGTGCTTGTTCTCTGCACAAGAATGATTTTTACCCACCACAGAGTCAGCTGAGCCATGGAAAATTCTGCTGTGGGTGGCATCAGTGGAATAATGCTGCTGTGTTCAAGAAGCTCTGTTTGACCATTGCAGCTGTAGCTTTAACATCTGACATACTGATAATCAAAATCATGGGTTATGGTGTGCACTAGTTCCCCAGGGGGTTCTGGAAGTAATGTATGTCTCTTACCGGCATCATTGCGTATCTGGCTGGGAAAATAAGTCAAGGAGGGGTTTTTAGCAAAACATCAGGCACCAGCCAGGAATAAAGGCAGGAAGTCTCTTCTGATAGTTCATTGATCTGATCCAGCATGACAAACTTCCTGTTTTCAGAGAAAAAAAAAAAAAAAAAGAAAGAAAAATGTGTGTGTTTGCAGAGAATATGTCCAGCCAGAAAATGGGCAGAAATCAGTAAAATGTTGCTGCTTTTGAAGGTAGCAATCAAACTGCAAAAGATGGCTTCAGATACCATTTCCATACTGTATGTGAATGTATTTTCCATGTGTTTCTGGTTTATGCATCCTTATGGTAATCTGTTATTGCATATTATTTGCAGACCCTTTGGTAATGACTCTTGCATCTATTAGAACTCGTTCTGCACCATGCAGCGGAAAGGAGATTATTCTGATCTAGAATTCTGTCCATTGACGCTCCTTAAGATACTGTGTAATCTTATAGAGGTGAATTTATGTTTCTGGCTTTTACTGCTCTTTGTGTCTGAGACACTTTGATGCATAAGAATCTTTCAATAAAAGGAAATAAACATGCAGCCCTGACACTTACTAGGGTCATGAGCTCTCAGAGTTTCTTTGTTGGGAGGGCTGATACTTTCATTTCTCCTTTCCTGAAAGGAAAAAATACCTGAAGAATGTACATATAACTTGAAAATCACATCTTGATTTTGGTAATAGCTTAACAGGCAGGTAAAATAAATTCAAACACATTGAGAGATGCAAAGAAAAATGAAACAGGAATGAAAAAGTGTCAAAAGTGACAAAACCCATCCAGAGCATTCTTTTTTTCATCTACAGAATAAATAAAGTGGATGGAGGAGGATGAGCTCACAGTGTCACTACTCTTCTCTGTTAGAGACAGACACAGTGTAGTCCTTGAGAATATGAAGGAATGACAACGTGTCTGACAGCATAAAGTGCTAGATGCCCAAACACAGACAAAGTTCTAGATGCCTGATGCTAGTGCTAGATCCTGGCTCCAACTTCTGACCCAGAAGTACTAGCTGGGTCCAGTCACTCTCTGTTCCCTTCCCATCTTTCATCTTGCCTTTTCTGAGTAGACTGCAGTCTTTCTGGAGGAAGAGTTCGTTACATGTCAGTGCCATACCTAGTTTAGGTGACCCTGAACCTGTGCCAGTAGAAGAATACAAAAATCTTCAGCTTGACACTCAACAACATAGCTGGAAGGCTGGAGAGGGATTAATAGTGCCGTTTGTTCCTGGCAGAGCATGACCTCTGTCCAACTTTGATCACTTAAGAAAAGAAACCTTTCCTAGATCCTTCTGTACTATTTTCCCTACTGTGGTGTTCTTTTTTGGTACTGGATAGTTCCCCAGCTGTGACAGAAACTCCCACCACTCTGTCCCTGCTGAGGGGAAACAATGCTTCCCTGCCAGAAGAGGTGTTCTTAATGCTATTATAAAGTAGAGCTATCTCCTGTGCAATGGGGCATATTGCATTTACTCTGGTTATTTAGCAAATAAAAGCTTCCTAGTCTCATTGCAGCCCTCCTTTCCTTCAGTACTTACCATAAGTCCTCTCCTGTAATCTCATCCTCTAACTTGCAGCCATCCATAGCCATGTTGGAACACCTTTCTCTTTGTACCAGATGGCAATGCAGTAATGCCTGCTGCCAAGATGAGCATCTGCATCTTACTATGAAGAAAAGGAGACTGGAAAAAAGCCACTTGACAAATGACCTGTGGCAGGTATCTCCTGTTATGGGGCTCTCGGCAATCTGAGCATGCTGATTCAAATAACTAAGAAATAAGCAAATGACTAAGCGTAGAGACAGTATGCAGCAGGCAATTACTGATGTGGTTGATGTCCTAAAGAGAAACTACAGAGTAGCTAAAAACCCAGCCCCTGATTCTTACACAAGTTTTATTTTCCCATGTTCTTCACAGGAGACGGGGAGAGCATGTGCCCTGAACACAGTTTTGGAATTGAACACTTTCTTTAAGGTCTCTAACTAGATTTGTGACATTGTACCTTTCATATCTGTCCTCTTCCCCCACTCTCACTGCATCATGTCCCAGCATTAGCCTGGCTTTTGCTGGATGACTACACCTGATGTCCTCTTTCCTCTTTTGGAGTTAAGCCATATTTCCCCAACTCATTGAATGTCTTCAAAATAACAGACCAAAGCTTCATAAATACAAGTTCAGCCTTCTTTGCCCTGTAAAATTCTGAATCTTAGAAATGTATACCCTAGGCTCCCTCAATAATAAATAGAGAGATGGGCAATTCTCAGTGTAAAGAGTAATTTCTGAACTGTATTTATGTTTTGGATTATTGGGAAACACTAAAAAATACCAAACATTGAATTTAAATCTGCACTGGAATAAACTGCATTACTGAACTGCTCAAACTACTCTTACCCTTCTACGTCAGACCAGTTCAATGTTAAATTTTAGTACTCCGCAGGATACATTGCCTCTTGGCAATTTTAGCTGGGAAATCTCATGCATTTACCTTCCCCATGTTCATGCTGCACCTTCAAACATTCAATTATTGTGATAATACCATGTGGCTGAAACAAAGGGAGATCATGTGCAGCACAGACAACATAGCCTGTCCAGAAAACATTGCACATACACAGAAGGCAGCAGTGAAAGTATGTCTGAAGGCAATTGATTAAGAGCAGTGCTTTGCTTAGCCCTGTTGGCAAAGAGAACCAGGGACTGTCTCACTGATTCTCTCCCATCTCAGAAAGCAAGCAGGTGCCAGAGGCCCATGTCCAAGAACTATCAGCAGAGAGCTGCTGTACAGGGCAAGATGGCAAGATGAGAAGATGTGCATCATCTCTTCTCAACAGAAATTCAGATAAGCCTTTATGGATGATGCAAGAGAAGTTTGAGTGCAGATGGTGAAACTGAACTGAAGCCCAAGCTCTGAGTTATAAAGAAGTGAGGATGTGGGGACATGCTAGTAGAGCGCAGGCTCCACTTCTTGCTCTGATTTGCCTTTGACCCACGCCACTCCAAACAGAAGGAGCTGTTGCTCATTTTGGGATAATAAAGTCCTCGGAGAGTTGCAGTTAATATAAGGATAAGGGCAGGATGTGTTTTCTCTAAGCAATTTTAACCCAGTCCCTGATCTACATGCTATTAATCAAGACTCCTAGCTCTACATCACAGAGCTGGAGGAAGACCAGAAAGAGGCTGTGGCAAGAGAAGGAAATCGCAATATTCTCCATGAACTAAGTAAGTTCTATGGGGAAAACAAAAAAAAACAACCCTATATCAAGCCTTTTAAAGCTATATAAGCTGTCTATTGGCTTGTCTTCTGAGACTGAAAAGTAGAGAAGGTCCTCAGTACTATCAGACACGACTGTCTTCAACGATCAGAACTTTTCATTCAGAGATGCCACTTATTTTGGTTTTTGTGGAGTTATTTTTCAAGGTTTCAATTCTGTAGTTACTGAGACAGTCTAATGCCATGCTAATTAGGAACTGCAAATTGACCATGCAAAGAGTCTAGCTGGGTGTCATTGTTCTCAGGGCTTATATAGAATCATAGGTAGATGTTAGTTTTATGTCTGTGTGCTCAAGCAGGACACTAGTCAAGCGACGTTTTCATGGGATCACAAAATGAAAGTCATACCAGGTCAACCTACTTAAGAGAGGATTACAAAATGCATGAAATAATGTTTATCCAGTTATAGCCAAAATAACACACTTTAATTACGCAAGGCAACTCTCAACACCCCTATGGGATGACACATAAACAGTGAAAATGTCAACTGCAGAAAATTCATACTGTTGTGGTGGAAAAGTGTTTTCAGGTGGAAAAGCCATTGCAAGTTACTAATGGCAAAGGTAACTTGCCATTCAGCAGTGTTGCTTCTTTTCATATTCTTCATGTTGTTGCATTAAGGTGTCAGGCTAACTTCAGTACTGTGCAACTTCCCTCTGGTGCATGAAAGAGAAAAAAAATAACTAAGACACTAGCCAGCAGAGATGTGTTCACCCATGTGATTTAATAGGCTCCAAAGAGGTGGAAATAAGTTGGGTACTATATAAGAGGTGGAAATAAGTTGGGTACTGGTATATCCAGGTATCATAGGTGCACTGTAATACTGAAAGTCACGTCATATAGTAGCCCTGCAGGAAATATACCTATATATTTGCAGCGGGCCTGACACCACCTCAAGCCATAATTTAAACAAAACAACACAGGTCAAACATTGATTTAGCCTTTTGCTCTTTGGATAATATTACCAGCTCTCCCAGGCTTCACTGTAAGGAGCTTAACTCTGCAGCATTATTGTGACTAATCTCATCAGAGACTACTGTGGCTGCCAGGCTCCCATAAGGCAGCCTAGGGGAGGATCCTAGGGAACAAGTAAAAGGCAGATGGGGAAGCTCTGCTTAAAGAATATGAAATAAACATTTAAGAGCTCAACTGAAATCCCAGATAATAAAAACAAGTCTGATCTCCAGGCCTCTTTGGACCCCAAAATTTCAAAATCCCATTTCATAGACTAAAGGAAAGTAATTGTGTGTCAGAAGAATTGTGTGTCAGTGTGGATGTGAATGTATATGGAATATGTACTACTGGGCTTCCCATTAGAGATTCATTTTACAGTTAAGAAGTGCTACTATAGTAATGGTGAATCCACCAAATAATGTGAATCCGTCATCTTGAAAATGGCTGCAGCCTAGACCTCAAGGTAGCAGAAAGCTTTTTTTTATGAAGAGATTCATTAAAACAAGCTTCTCTTTTATTTTTTCTTCTCTGGGAAAAAGGAAAAAAACAAACAATCTTTCCCTGTCTGGAAGCAATGGGATCATAAAAGGGGAACTTCACCTCAGGTTGTGATGGAGACCCAAAAACCTGCTACATTCCAGATTTTCTTAGGGCTTTCATAAAAGAGCCAGAAAGACACTTCTACCATAGCAAGGGCTAAAGAGATAGATCCAGCCCACTGGAATAGATAAGTAGATACCCCAGCAGGGTTATGAACCTTCAAGAGAGAAAGGTGCATTGGTGGGAATCTGCTGTAAATTTTCTCTGTCTGCAACCTTCCAGATTCATCTAAAATGTGCTGTCTCCAGTGAATTTAATCCCTGTGGTAGGAGCTCACCACTAAGGCATCATTGTTTTGGTAGAAAAGTTTTTAAAGAAGACAATCTCACAGAAAACGTGTTTTTCTAGAGTTATGTAGGCACTGAAAAATTAAGATCACTAAGACTGGAAAAAGTCACGACAAAATCTACTCATGATCCCAATATACAGGTAGGTCTAATCTTTTTTGGAACTGTTGCAAGACACATTAGAAGAATGGGGGTAGCTGTCTGAACACATAAGAATGCAGGACAGAGTAAAAATCCATCCATATCTATCCATCCATCCATCCATCCATCCATCCATCCATCCATCCATCCATCCATTTATTGATCTCGTATACTTCCTGACAAGAAGATATGCTTCTCTCTTCCTTTCTTTCTCCTCTCACACATCAATCCAGGCAGTTACTGGACATCATAATTATAGTAAGCTCTTAAATCCCAACAAATACTACCAAGCTGGCTACTCAGAGGCTTCCATGCCAACAACTTTTTAACACAGTAATGATGATTAGACTATATTGCATCTGACTGCTTTTAAAGGTATACCCTTTGATTAGACTTAAAGAGAGGGTGGTAAGAAATACTGGCAAAAATGAGGAGATATGTCAGCTTGGAAAGGGATTTAGAAGTTGTGCTTTCAAATTCTCACAAAAGGCACCATTAGTTTTGCTGCTTTAAGATCTTTCCATTCTGCAGCAGCAGCAGCAGAGTAGGACCAGGATGAAAGAGAAGAGAAACACACAGAATCAGTGAATGTTTGGCTATCCAAATGGCTGAAAGGCGAGGAAAGGATCCTGGCACATCATGAATCAAGGAAAAAAAAAACCTAGGAAGAGCAGGTACAACAGAAAGTGAGAGCAGCATGCTTTCAGTGGAGGAGGAATAAAGGGGATCAGTAACATTGCAAGGGCTAAAAAATCTTTAGATAGCTGTGAGTGAATAGAGTGGAGGTAGAAGGAAGCTTCATCAGATCCTTCTCCTCAATCCAATAAAAGAGTCTTAAAGAATCTAGATATTGACATGTGTGTCAGTAACAAGTGATCCACTACCTTTCGGTTGCTGTTAGTGCAATGAAGCTCTGTATACAGCAAATGGTGTCTCAGGCCCAGCAGTCTGTGGCAAGAGTAGTGAAAGTATGCCAAAGCCATGGTAGCCTGTGTGTTTTCCATATCACAGGACTGGAGTGATTCACCAATAACTTTCCTCTTCATTTTCCATTCAAGTTTGTCCAGATATCCACAAAGGGATGCCACACTTTCTGTCCATAATCAAGGTTCATTGAATGCCCAGATGGTTTTGTACCAAGATGCGGCTTCTGGTTTTGAGCAGAATTGCTTCCAAAGGGCAAAGATGAAAAATACCAGCTGTGTAACACACTAATCTCCCCAGTGTATTGCAGGAGCTGTTGCAAAGAGTGAATACCTGTGTTCACAGATACCCACAGGCCGACACATATATTCATCAGACACTCACCTAAGAATTTCAGCAGACAGTTTTGTAAATGTTGAAGTCAATCCCAAGAAAAAGAGGCTAAATTCACTAAATAAGGTCTGTGTTTCAAGATTTTTCCCAGTTCATCTCCAGC